AACTGTAGTCTCAAGAGAGCCACAGGCCAGGCCCTGCCCATGTGGCACTCTCCACCACTAAATGAATCATCACAAGTGTGACACGTGAAAAAGGGACTGGAGGGCTGGCTGGTTAGCTTGGTTGGTTAGAGTGTGGTGCCAATAACACCAAGGTCCAGGGTTCAATCCCTGGACCGGCCAGCTGCCAAAAAAAGAAGTGGGGGTTGGTGGCTGGAGAACAAGTGCCAGCCAGTGCTGCAGTAACAGCTTCTTCCCTAGAACCCTGTCCTGGCCCCGCCCTTCTTGGCAGCTCACCAGAGCGCAAGTTGGTCATGGTGGAGGGCAACTGGAGGTAGGCAGGGTTGTGAGTGGTGACACCAATCTCAATGGAGCCAGCCCATTTGTCCACCATCTTGTCAATGCGCACCTGGAACACCTCTCCATCCCTCAGGGCTCTGCTGCTCAGCACCACACCGTGATTGAAGTCATCAGTGGCGCTGAGGGCACAGCAATCAAGAATTCAGATCCCCAACACAGGCTCTGAGTGTGCCAAGGCCTAGCCCAGCAATGCCTGCCTGACACCCACCGCCCCAAGCCAACCAACTAAACCTCAAACTGAGGAAGGCTTCCCATTCTTCAGAACTCCCCAGACCAGACTCCCTCTGCCTCTCGCTTTCCCCCCTTTCCCCCACAAATCCCATTAGAGCCCCTTCTGCAGGCTTCTCCCCACCCCATGGGCCATACTGGGGCCTCAGGGCAGTGCGTCCCTCATGGGTGATGGCTGCTTTCTGCCCACAGTTGGGGTGGAAGAGCAGGCGCTCAGGTTCTGCCTGGGCAGCAGGAGCAGCACGGCGAAGAGCACCCTCAGGGGACAGCGCCCGCAGGATGGCATTGTTTCGGCGTAGACGGTCGCTGTGATTGTTATTGTGGACAATGGTCACCTTCACTGCCATCCCATACAAGTCCACCACACCATACACCACCGGGGGTGTCAACGGGGTAGCCACACCTGTGGCAGTAGAAGGTACAGTGATTGCGGGGAGAACAAGGGAAGAAGAGTCAAATATGGGGAGACCAAATCCCAAAGAGAGGCAGGAGTATGAGGTACAGACCCCAGTCCCCACCCCTCACAGAAAGCCCTGGCCCAGTGACCCTTTCTAAGCATCCCCTTACCCTGATCGATGCCATTAATGAAGAAATGCAGGGCAGAGTTGGACTTCCTTGTGAGGCCAATGTGGTCACCCTCCTAATCAAAGTACAAAAATAGCTCAGTCTGGAATCTATCTACAGCAGTCTTCAGCACGGTCCTGGGTCCTTCCCACCACCCCGTTCCACAGGGAACAGCTCCAAAACGATGTTCATGCAAGTCTCAGACCACCCTGGAGGAAAGGTAGGATAGGTCCTAGGTCCCTGTTTTCCAGACATGATAATTTCTACATATTCTGAACGTTCAGTGCAAGATGGTTAAACCATCTTACAAGCATCAACTTCTCTAAATCTCAATCTATAAGTACTGCTAATAAGCTCATTAAAAAAAAAACAAACCAACAACCATAGAGGATAAGTGTCTAGCCTCAGACCATAACCACAAGTAGCCAAACAAACAGAGAAGGAAATGAATCATCTGATTCCAAAATCTGGGTGCTTAACTGTTGGGTAACCCTGTCTTCTCAGAAGGAATCTTCAGGCAACAGAAAAAGGGACTTGCTCTAGGTGACAGAGGAGACCAATGTGTGCTGCCCAAATGGGGACACAAGTGGCTCCCCTGGAGAGGGGCCAGAGGCTTTGTGTCCCACCCTTACCTGTAGCTCATCCAGACTGAATTCACAGTATTCCCGGCGCGTGCCTTTGCCATTGGTCAGGATCCCGCAGCCGCTCATCATGATCGTACCTGGGTGCAGGTGGACACCCTGGTTAGGATATGGGCTTCCTTCCCCTCAGTACCCCCAGGCCTGCACCCCCACCCCTGCCTGGGGCTGGTACCTGACTGGAGGTTGGTCATGGTGGCTGGATACTCCAAACTGTTGGGATTGTGGGTGGTGACACCAATCTCAATGGAGCCTGACCACTTATCTACAAGCTTGTCGATACGGATCTGGGGTTAAATGATAGCAGAAGGGAGGAGCAGGAAACCCTTAGCTTTTGGTCCTTCCCCAGGCCCCACCCTTCCAGCATCAAGGGTTGAGCCCCATCTTTAGCTCCCAGAGGTGAGACGCCAGCCAGACCCCAGGACCTTGCACACCTCAAACATTTCATTGTCTCGAAGCGGGCGGTTGGTCATGACAACCCCGTTGTTGAATTCGTCCAGGGGCCGCCGGCGCTCAGCTGTCTTATTATTGTTGCTGAGTTTGATGAGGGTCCCACACTTCTCGTGAAAGAGTAGGGCGTCATTGGAAGTAAGGATGGGCGAGGTGGCAGCACTGCTAGACCCAAGCCCATCCCCGGCTGGTGGGGAGCTCAGGTTCACATTCAGAAGCCCCCCGTTGTAGGCAGACAGGATGGCATTGCTCACCACCTCAGAGAGCTCCATGCTGGCAAAGTCTACAGCAGCAAGATAGAGAAAGGCAGGTGAGATGGGACATTATACACTCAGGCTTGGTACCCTCTTTCCCTACCCCTCTCCTGAGGTCCCTCCCTTGTCCACATCACTTCCCGCTTCCCTTCCCAGGGCCTCCCCAGAGCCCTCACCATTATGTGACTCAAGGCTGTTAGGAAACGTCTCCGGCCGGGCCTGCGCTGGGGACACCATGAAGGCTGGGGACCAGGTGAGATGGGAGGGGAATAATGGTTCAGTCCCTGCTTCAGTGCCCACAGCCAAGAGACCCCCTCCTCTAGCCCCTGCTCTCTCCTTCAACAGACTTGGGGGTCTGAATGGCTCTGCCATGCCCAGTCTCACTTGTCACTGCATTTCCCCCATTCCTTCAGCCATTCCTTCTGCCCCACCCCTCCACCACCACCCTAGCTGTGTGTGTTCTTACCTTCATCCCCAGAGGTCCCCTGTTCAGCCAAAGCAGAATCTTCAGCGGGGGCTGAGGGTTCGAGGGGAGGTGTGGGGATGGGAGCAGGGAGGCTGAAGCCTGGCTCAGGGGGTAGCACGGTGATCTGGGTGCACTTGCCATAAAGGTCCACGACGGCCCAGACACGAGTGGGCAGGCCTGTGGCGGCCACTCCGCAATCCCGCCCATTCACCCAGAGCCGAAGCTCCCCTGCAACAGTACGCTCCACGCCCACGCGGTCCCCTTCGCCAAGCTGGTCCAGGTCCTGTCCATACTCCTCCAGCACAGAGCGTCCATCTCTCAGCACCGAGCAGCCCGACACTACCCATGAGCCCCCCTTCAGCCCCGTAGCACTGCTTGGGAAGTCCAGCACACTGGGGTCCAGTGCTGTTACCCCAATCTCAATGGAACCACTCCACGAGTTGACCTGCGATGGAGTGGTGGACAGAGAGTCAGTATGGGCAACAAACGGGTTTCTGCCACTAAGAAACCACATTCCACAAACCACTGCATCCGCCCTCTTCCACATCTCTGACAGCTAACTGGCTTTCTCTCTCATGAGACATTAATCCAAAGATGCAGACCCACGAGTAATTTTCTGGACTCTGTTTCAGTAATTAGTTGGGCCAAGCAATTCTGCTCTGTACTCAGTGTTGACTACACCAGTGCTTTCCCTGCCAAGCAGGCTAAATTCCCTGATTCCAGCCTCCTGCCTCCTCTAACTTCCCTGATCTCTACGGCACTCCAACCACCCAAATTCACATGCTTCCTGTGCCTATATCCTTGCTTTGGTATATCAATCACTCTCTTCCCGGGGCCCAATTCTCTTCTTGGCTCAAACTCCACCCAGATTCTCTCTCCTCCCAGATTCTTTCTCTGTGAGTTAAATCACACACACCTCCCCCTACCCGAGTATTTCTCCTCACCTATCTTTCTAGCTCTACCTGTAGATTTGTCCTTCAATGGTCTGTTCTTTCCTTGGTATCTCTCTTTTCTTCCAATCACATCTTTGACATCTCTCCATCCCCCATCGCCAAGAAACTGATCCAGGAGGTCTGTTTCCCAGCCATTCTAATGGGTGAGCCTCCGTGTCCCTTCCCGGATTCTGGGTCTTGAGGAAACCCAAGCTCTCCTTGTCCCCTCTTTCAGACTGAATGTTTCTGCTTCGTGCACCCTTCCTGTCCATCACCTAGTGTTCTCTGGGCTGTCGGTTCCCTCTCGGTTGCTGGTGATGTGGACTACCCCTACCTGTCCTACCCCGCCTCCCTCCACAGCTCGGTTCCCGGCCCCAGCTCTGCACCTTGCGGTCGATGCGGACGGTGAAGACGCGTCCATCGCGCAAGGGTTCCCGGCTCAACACCAGCCCGTGGTTAAACTCCTGGCCCGGCTGCTGCCTCCGCGCTGTCCGCCCACAGGCCGACAGGCTCACCAAGCGCCCGGTGCGGGGGTGCAGGTCCCCGCCGCTGCCGAGACCCCCGCTGGACCCCGGTCCTGGGCCGCTCCCGCCGGGGCCCCCACCCCCGCCCGGC